AATGCTTGGAGTCTGAACTTCGTGCATTAAAGAACCAACTTCATCATGAAGAGCTAGTTTCTGCTATCAACCATCTTAATACTCAATTAAAAGACTCACGCGTTAATGCATGCTCCTATGTAAATAATATCGATCGCGTTGATGAGAATGCTCTGTCTAATGTCCGTTTTGATTCGCCCGCTAACTTGCCTGCTCCTACTTCTTCAGCTGTTGCTACCAATACATACATGTTATCAACTTCTATAGCTGCTGCCTCTCCCACATATGCTGCTGCTGCTGATGCTGCGAATTCCAACAGTATCAATCGGGTCTGCGAGAGTTCTCTGTCCAACGCGCGTATTGGTTTTACCGCCGCTACCTCTTCAACCTTTGATGCTGCTGCTGCCAATAATAAAAATTTGATCAACAGCTCTTTGACTGCGGGTGCTACTTCACACTCTGGTCTTGCTCCGAGCGTAAGCGAAGGTTCTCAGGCTCTGCCGAATATTGGTGGTGCTGCTAATGTAACCCAACATGCAAAATGGTCAACTGCAACAAGTAGAAGCAATATCCAAAGGAAGGCCGATGATGTGGTGGTTTGTCGTAAGACCAGCTCCGACTTGGACGTTGTTCCGTCAAAGGAATGGGTTCATTTATCCTCATTCAAGAATACCATTTCCGAAGATGATATCATATCTTATGTTGCGAAAAACTCAAATATTAATCGAAGCCAAATGGCCTGCTTTAAACTAGTTAAAAAGAATGCCGATATTAATTCATTGCGGAAGATTAACTTTAAGCTCGGTGTTTCGCCGGAAGCATTTAGCGTCATTTTAGACCCAGATCTCTGGCCAACTAATGTCAAAGTGCGCCCTTTTCAATTTTTTCTGAAGGAAGATCTACCAAACAAAAAAAAACCTAGCTGCTCCTAGCAAGTCAGCCAATAACGACGCTGACAGCCATGTTCGTATTTATTTTCACAACATCTCCGGAATGCGAACTAAAGGAAATGCAGTGCACTCTTTCACCTCGCAGGCACTATATGACGTGTTTGTAATAATTAAAACCTGGCTCACACCAAATTTTTACAACTCTGAGTTTTTCGATCAAAACATGTTCGATGTTTTCCGTAAGGATAGGGATGCAGTTAAAACCGGATGCAACAGAGGTGGTGGAGTTCTGATTGCGGTTAAGCGAGAACTCCGTGCTGTCTTGGTAAGCCTAAATAACAATGACACTTTGCTTGATCAAGTCTGCGTACGCCTGCTTGGTTCCATGGACAAGTTATTCATCTGTGCCTCATATATTCCGCCGAATAGCCCAGAAACGCTGTATAGAGCTCACGTCAACAACATCGTTTCTTTATGCTCTAAGATTGGATCTCAACAGTTATGTATACTCGGAGATTTTAACTTTAATAATTAATCATGGTCTTTTTTAGATAATTCTTATTTCCTTACTCCTTCCAATGTCTGTAATACCTCAGAGCTATACGTTGTTGATGATTTCTTAAGTTTTGACCTAAATCAAGTTAACTATTATATAAATAAGTGTAAAAAAATCTTAGACTTAATTTTCCTGTCTAATAATTTAAGCTTTCATCTCTCGGAATGTTGTTCGCCGATTTCCTCAGCTACTATGCACCATATACCTTTACTTTTAGACATTGAATTTTACAGGTTTACACATACCTCTCCTGTGAGTGATGTCATACATTTTAATTTTAATAATTTCAGCTTTGATTACCTTAATGAACTGCTTCTTGAGTTTGACTGGATCTCCATATTTGATAACTTAGATGTCTCTGAGTGTTTTCAATTATTTAAATCTGAAGTGATCGGTATGTGTCTACAATATATACCTGTTTTGCCTAACAGAAAGTACAAGCTGCCCTGGTTCACTAAGGAGCTTAAGCACTTAAAAAATCGCTGCAATAAGGCCTATAAAAAATATAAGGTCTCCAATAGTGATGAACATCTTAACTCGTACAAACGCCATTTAGGCGAATTTAGGAGTCTTGATAAAACCCTTCACAGTAGATACATACGTTATGTTGAGCATAATATAAACTGTAACCCCAAAGCCTTTTGGAATTTTGTTAAATCTAAAAACTCGAAATCGAACATACCGTCCTCAATGTTTTTTAAGGAAAAGCATGCCTCTTCTCCCGATGGGATAGTTAATCTTTTCGCTGAATTTTTCAGTGCCAACTTTGTGGCTGAACTTGTTGACGGCCTAAATAGTGCTTATTTATTGGATTCTCCATTGTGCTTTAGTAGTTTGTGTGTTGTTGTTGTTGTAGCGGCTACAACAACCCCGCCCAGGACGGTTGGTATCTCAGTCGTTGTCGTCAAGTTCCACTAACGGCAACCCTAGGAAGCGTGCAGCTTCTGTGGGGTTTGTCCACAGGGACAAGGCCGTTAGGGTTGTCGGGTTTTCCGGGCATGCGAAGAGATGTTTCGAGTCATGTGGGGTCTCTCCGCATGCCGGACACTCATTCGGCACATCCTCATTCAACTTACTCAAGTAGGAGTTCAACCTGCTGCAGTAGCCGGAGCGAAGTTGTGCGAGTGTTGTGCCTGTCTCCCGAGGCAGATGAAGCTCCGTCACGTCTATGTCCGGGGGTGGTATGCCTAGAACGGCATTCACAGGTCTAGAGTCTACATAACTCGAGACTGAGTCCCTGTGAATGCCGTTCAGGGCCTGTCTGTAAGCTGTCGGGTCCAGAGGTTGCTTAATGAACCTCTGGACTTCGTCCGTCAGTTCATATAGATGCCTCCTGACGTGACTAGGCGAGGGCTCCTCTGCAAGCAGCTGTCTGCTTGGGTGGCCACTTCTGTGGCTCCCGATCAGGAACTGCTTGCAGAGCATTATATTATGCTCCTTCACAGGGAGCATTTGCTCCTCGCCGTGCAGGTGGTGTTCAGGCGACATCAAGAGGCATCCTGTCGCTGTCCTGAGTGCGGTGTTCTGTACAGTCTGTAGCTTCGTGATGTTCAAAAGGCAATCGCAGTACTCAAGGCCTCCACACAAACCGATGCTGATGGCTTATCACCCTGTCTCTTAAAAAACTGTTGTGCTCTTGTAAAACCGCTGACGCTTATTTTTAATAAATCACTTTCAACAGGGATATATCTTCAAGATTGGAAAAAAACTCATATTACACCAATCCTCAAAAGTGGAAATAAGAATGATGTTTCTAATTATAGGCCGATAACGAAGTTGACGATTGCGAAACTATTTGAGTGTGTTGTTAAAGTTAAGCTAGATTTTGCTTATTATTATTTATATATTCTACTATTTCGAAAGCTGAGGACTCGGCACTACTTCAATCTGATATTGATATGGTGCACTCTTGGTGTGTGCGTAATCGGCTATATTTAAATGTTAAAAAATGTTATCAAATAGGTTTTTTCAAAAAAGTGGAACACCATAAAGTCGTGTTATTACATTTCTGGCACAAAACTAGAGTCAGTTCCTCAAGTTAAAGACTTAGGAGTGTTCTTTGACAATAAGTTCCTATTTACCGATCATATAAATTATATAGTGGCCAATGGTTACGCTATGCTTGCTTTTGTACACCGAAACAGTTCCTACTTTTCTGATCCCTATACACTCAAGAGGCTTTATATAGCTTTTCTTAGATCTCGTATAGAATACGCCTCCTTTATATGGCGGCCCTTTCAAATCACTTATATCAATAGAATTGAGCGGATACAAAAAGTTTTTATTAAGTTTGCGTTGAGGGCGCTGAATTTCGAAGAGCCTCTTCCTTCATATAACTGTCGTTGTCTTCTTATCAATTTAGATTTACTCCAGACTAGAAGAAAATCGTTATCATGTTCGTTTGTCATCAATGTCTTGGTAGGTCAAAGCAGCATGGATCTACGTCAACTAATCCATATCTCTACGTTAACTTCATTCTAAACGCGATAAACAATGGTCTCGATGTACATTCTTTATACACCGACTTCAGCAAGGCTTTTGACATGGAAACCAAGAAATTCTGCTCAGAAAATTAAGTAATTATGGTGTACGATCGAAAGCCTTAAACTGGCTCCGCTCGCACTTATTTGGCAGGCGCCTGCAAGTCCGTGTTAATTACCATTTATCAAATGAGTTTGAGGTTACTTCTGGTGTACCTCGAGGATCTCATCTGGGACCGATGCTATTTAACATATTTATAAATGACATTAGAGACGATTTCGAATCCGAGTACTTATTATATGCAGATGACATGAAAATCTTCAGAGCAATACGTGGCGATAATGATATGGAAGCTCTACAGAGTGATATTTCAAAACTAGAGGAATGGTGTGCGATAAATAAGCTGAACCTGAATATAAAAAACTGTGCTGTCGTGGGATTTTCTCGTCGTCATAATCAATAGCCCGCTAACTATTCCTTATGCGGTCAAAGTATACAAATTAAGATTTTTAATTAACTAAAGAGTTATTCGCAAAAAACACTTGCACTTTGCAATTTTCGCACCATTTTTGATGAATTTGATGCAAATAAATGGAGTAAATTAAAGTTGTTCTCTGCAAAAGGTGTTTAGCCCCCTTCTTTGGCAACACAGAAAGGAGAATTCTACTGCCTGAGGGTTATAATCTCTAAGTGCGGCCGAAGGCCTCCTACGCAAAAAGGAGTTCCGCTAAAGTGCACTTTTACCCTTTTTTCATCTATTATCTTAATTGAGAAAATGTTCAATAACTTATACTAACAATAAATGCAAATGTTACTTGGATATTTAAAAATTTCATCAAATGTGTAGGGTGAGTGCCCACTACTATTTCAATGCTCGCAGCTGTACATATTTAGGGGATTATTAGATATACTTTGCATTAAAACGTTCACAGATATGAAAACCCTTTTTACAATGCCTTTTTTTCTTATGTCACTACTGGTTTGTATTCAAGTTTGACTGTGAGAATTTATCAACAAATTTTATGTTCTGGAATATGACAGTGAGCTTGCATATAGCAAACATTAGACCCATCTTTTCTAGTTTCAATTCTTACCTTTAATATCACTCAAATAACTGTCTTCATTTTGCCACATATTGAATATCTCCCTTTTATTTGTCATAACCTTCAGGCAGAAACCCGCGCGGGATACCGAAAAAGTATTTTAACACAGCACTTTTGGAAACAAATATACGTTTTTCACGACTTGACTGTTCTCGATTTTTCACTTGTGTATGTATACACAACTATGCACCGCAATTTCAACTTGAAGGCTTTTAAGAAAATACTTTAGTTCATTATTATTTTTCAAAGTCTCAACTTTGGCGTTTTAAGTAACTTCTGGAAATCGCACATATGTTTACTAATTTTTATTTTAAAATCCTAGAACCGTCGATGAAACCTTACCTGGAACGTAATAAGATATAGCGCACTTATTCCGGCAAGAATTTTTCGATAAAAATTTAGTTGCAAATTCTCAACTTAATTTACACTGTAGACGTCAACACGGGTCCGCTCTGCAAGTAAATCGAATCAAACTTTTAAAACTCTAAAGGACAAAATTTATTAGTTTGTAGATGCATTTCACCTTTTTTGCAGTAGATAAAAATTTCAATTTTCAACACAGCTAGCCAAAAAAACATGGCTTCTTTTCTGTTTCAGCGTTGCATTTTTTCTTTAAACTTTTTACCAGTACTACCAACATTAGGAAATAAAAATACATAGTCAAGTGATGTACACAGTATACATCTCGATTAGTGATCATGATTCAGTTACTACGTTTATGCGTAGGCCAATTCAAGAAATCATATCATGATTTGGGTTAAAATGGGTTGCATAAACACAATTCCATGAATTAAATTATACACGAAAATTAACCATGAATTTCGCCATCATTTCACGAATTCGTGAAGTGCTAGTCTGGCAACGCAGCGTTTCACAAACAGCTGTTTACCAGGGCTATGACGTTTTTAGATTCAAAAGCATGTAGAGGCATAACCAAGTTTTAAAACACTGTAAAAGTTACGTGGATTTGTTTAAATATAAAATAACTTCAAACAGAGGAGTTTGAATACAACATGGACCATTTCCTGGTACCAACGACTTTTGCATAGACTGCTTTTACACAGTTCAAGTATTGAATTCAATTCTGCTCGCATGTCGGAGAGAGGGGGTGAGAAGAAAAGGGACGTTTCAACTTTCTTGCTTTGCTTTTGGCATTTTCGTTGCTTCCCATTTAAAGAACCAAAAACTTGAATTCAAAGGAATTGAAACTTGCAAAAGCAAATAGAAAACACAAAAGAGAATGAGCAAGAATTGCTTTCAAGTACTTGAATCCTGTAAATCGGGTGATATTCAAAAAAGGGGAAAAACACCACAAACATATTGTTTAGTTTCTCTTTTTAAAAATGCTTCATATCATGAAATCCCGAATTATGCACAAACGGAACCATTTTTGGATTCATGATATGAAGGCTGCGTTCTTTTATACATTCCAGATAATCCCATTTCACAGCCAGAATAAACAGAATGCTTTTGGAATATACGTTAACATATCATCAGGAACGTTCTAAAGAATAAGTAAACAAAAAAGTTTACTCCAAACGTTCAGAATAAATAAAGAAATGCTGCCGAAGAATGCATGAATTCTGCAGCATAAACGTAGTAAGTAATTAATTAAAATATTTAATTTATTATTAGGGGTCTTCATCAAAAGTGATAAACTGCTGATAAACTTGATAAAATGAGAAATTTTGTATGGGAACTATTTAACAAAGTTTATCACTTTATCAAACGATCTTGGTGGATAAATGTATAAATTTCAGCAAAATTCAACCCTGACAGGTTACCAGGCGGTCATTTTTGCTACGAACACAAAACAAGCAAATGTACACAATGGACGCGGTAAGAATAAAAGCGTTACTAGCCATATAAGTTAAATAATAAACAATTTTATACAATTATTTACCAAGGTGCGTTCATGAAAGAATGCGAATAAACTGATAAATTTATCACTTTAGATGAAAACGCCAATTGAGGGTCTGTGCCAATTGATAGAAAAGAGGAAATTTGGGAAACCTTTTTCTTAAATTTGGTTCAAATTTGAAAAATGAGGGGGTATTGGGGATGTTTTTTTTCTGTTCTAAAAGTGAAGACCCCAGAGCGCCGAGGCTTTTATTAAAAAGTTATTAACTTTCAAGGCTCTGTCACATACAGCTTTCCCGTCGCTTTGGCGGTGTTTCATTTTAACAGTAACGCAAGTAGCGCAAGCGTTTCCTACCTTATTTGCGTTTTCTTGGGTTATGAAGCTCAGTATTGCGATCATTTCTCACGGAAACGGTCTGGATCTTTCTTATTGGCGTTGGCAGAACTAATTTATACTACTAGCACCAAAGAACGCAGAAAACAAGAAGGGACAACTCGTTATAATTGTAGTGAAAGTGAGTAACAGGGGCGTGCCTTCTCCTTTCATCCAATTAAAAACGTACTAGAGCAAAAGAGAAGGCACGCCCCTGTTACTCACTTTTGCTACAATTATAATGAGTTAGCCCTTCTTGTTATCTATGCCAGAATATCTGTTTGTGTATACATTCATTTGTCAGTGCTACCAAACCGTACATCCAAGTTACCAGTGACAAAAACCAAAAAGAGCGGATCATAATTTGAACCAGATCTCTATCGGGATTATATCGTTGTTGTTGCATTTGTATGCAAATCTTTTATCCGGATCCCGAAAAAAACACAGCTAATGAACGCTCTGACAGTGAATGTTTCCAGTTTTTGAACTTGAATTATACAATTAAAAAACATTTAAACATTTTTAAATTAGAAGCATTTGGTCGTCGTGGTACTTTTCGTTTTTTTTTGGCATGATTTTGTGTGTTTATTAGCAAAAAGTTGTTGGGTAGGTTCAGAAGGCGCAGCAGTTGAGCCCAACCAGTGCTAACAAAATCAGTGATCGTTATGCGTCTTCTGAACGACTTGATGCATTAGCTGTCAAATTCAACTCTCAAAGGTACACACCAACATGTGGTCTCAAATAATCAAAAAAAAATATTACGATCATCCAACACGCAACTGTTCAGTTGATCAGAAGTATACGACAACGCGTTCAGAAGGTGCAATCGCAACAGTTACGCGTTCTGAACGTACCCATTGATTCCATCAAGGAACTGTCAACGCGCGCAAAACGGTAAGAATTAACCAGGGCATGAATCACGTATGACGACAATCGTCATGAAAAGCCTGAAAGATATCAACTGTCGAACTGTTAAAGGCTTTGTAGGCTTTTTTAGTACTAATAAATATGATAATGGCAATGTTGCAATCGATATCACTTATAATATTTTTAATGAATGTAACACAAAATTGAGGCAATACAACACGAGGAAAAATTATTAATTATATGAAAAAGAATATGAAAGAGGTGACCAAAAGCACTGAATAAACTAAAATGAAATGGTAAAATAATTATCACTTTTATCGAACTAGCATTTTTTAGTCGATATCTCATTTGTCGGAAAACTCATTCCTACACCATTCGCCAATTTACTGCAAAATATCAAAGGTGTGGCGAAATGAAACCACATATATGCGTTTAATATGTATATTACTTTAATTCAACTTTATTAATTAAACCAAAAATTTATATCTCTCTAGGCACGCGTTCGGTAAAGAGCCGTTAATGAAAAGTTCTCGAAGAAGTTTTTCTACAGAAAAGCAAAGAAAGGGGGTAGCAGAAAACGAATAATGACATAGAGAAGTGCTAAATGTGGTGTTGCCACATGTGTTGATTATTGCTGTGTCCCCACACTACTCCCCCCTAAATGAGGTATTAGGTATAAAAACGAATTCAATTTGTAGATTTGCAGTCCCGATTGGTGGCTGAACTGGTGGATGTGCTGCTTGGATGGGATGGCCGAATAGTTCCTGGTTGCCCGAGGGGCAGGCTGGTGGTAATGCGCGGCTGTAGCGAGTTGTCGAAAACGTCGTCGGCGGCGAGGTGAGCTGGTTTAATGCGCTCGATGTTCACGTTAACTTCCTTGCCGTTTACTTCGATGGTGAAAACTCGTTCATCAATCCTTCTTACGACTCTATGAGGCCCTGAATATGGCTGGTCGAGAGGCCGTTTGGTAGCATCGATCCTTAGAAACACATGCGTGCAGGTGGCCAAGTCCTTAAAACAGAATGTCTTTTGTCGACAATGATGTGATGTCGGTGCTGGTCGGATTTCTCGCATATGCGTGCGGAATTCCTTGAGGAAGAAGTGCGGGTCAGCCGGTGGGTCTTCGCTTGTGAAAAATTCACCAGGGACTCGTAGTGTTGTACCATACAAATACTCAGCGGGTGATGCCCTCATGTCCTCTTTGTAGCAGGTTCTCAAGCCGAGCAACACTGCGGGAAGTACTTGCGTCCACTGCTGCTGCTGGTGACACATGATAGCGGCTTTTAAAGTGCGGTGCCATCTCGACCAATCCGTTTGCTGCGGGGTGGTAAGCTGTAGTCCGAATGCGCTTGCCACCAACTAGGCGTGCCAAGGCTGTGAAAAGCGCACTTTCAAATTGGGTGCCTTGATCAGTTGTGAGTAGCTTAGGGCATCCAAAACGTGCGATCCAGTGAGCGTAAAAAGTGTTGGCGACGGTGTTGGCAGTGATATCCTTGATAGGCACAGCTTCTGGCCACTTAGTGAATCGGTCCACCATTGTCAGGCAGTATTTGTACCCTTGGGACTCCGGCATCGGTCCCACTATGTCCAGATGAATGTGGTCGAATCTACCGTCTGTGCTGGCGAATGAAACGGGTGTTGAACGAACATGGCGACCTACCTTGGAGCGCTGACACGGGACGCAGTCACGAGCCCAATGAGTTATATCCTTGTTCATGGAAGGCCATACGTATCGTTGTGCGATGATCTTCACGGACGCCCTGCCGCTGGGGTGTGCCAAATTGTGCAACAAATCAAATACTTTTCTTCGGAGCTGCAACGGTACGAACGGACGGATATTGTTGGTTGATACGTCGCAAGTTATTCCTCTGCCTCCGGGTCCGCAGTAGAGCGTTTGCAGTTTGAGTGACGTATCGTTGTGAGCGAGCAGGTGCTGGAGTTCTTCATCTGACTCTTGGGTGAGTGACAGTTCCTCGGGATCGATGGTCATTGGGTGGTGTATGGCGTCCAAGCGAGAGAAAGTGTCAGCCACGTTGTTGTCTGATCCGGTGATATATTGTATGCTGGTAGTAAATTGGCTGATAAAGCCAAGTTGTCTAATTTGACGCGGTGACGACTTGTCTGACTGTTGTCGGAAAGCAAAAACTAGCGGCTTATGGTCGGTTCTGATTACGAAGTTCCGGCCCTCGACCCAATGCCGGAAATACCTTACGGCTTTGTATACTGCCGTCAACTCCCTATCGTACGTGCTGTAGTTCCTGTGTGCGGGTGAGAGTTTCTTCGAGAAGAATCCCAGTGGGTGCCATGTGCCGTTGTGGTTCTGCTCCAAAACTGCTCCCAGGGCGCTACTAGATGCGTCACAAGTGATTCGTAGTTCGGCTGCCGGAATTGGGTGTACTAAGAGGGCTGCGCTGGCCAATTGGTCTTTCACCTTTGCAAATGCTTCCTCCGCCTCCTCAGTCCAGGGAACCGGCCTCTTGTCATTTTTCTTAGCGTCTTGTAAGAAGTCATTGAGGGGTGCTTGTACCATAGCAGCATTCCTAATATGTCGTCTATAGAAATTCACCGCTCCGATAAACCTCCTTAGCTCCAGGATGATTTTAGGTTTCGGAAAATCGCGAAGCGCTTTTACTCGGTCCGGAAGAGGTGCTGAGCCCTGCGCTGAGACCCGATAGCCCAAAAAGTCGACGGTAGTAGCACCTAAGACGCACTTGTCCGCATTGATGCATAAACCGAATTGGCTTATGCGTTGAAATACCGAACGAAGATGTTGTTTATGCTGTTGGACGCTATCTGACGCTATAAGCAGGTCGTCGATGTAGGCGTACACGAATTCCAAACCGGAGAGGACTTCGTTGATGAAGCGCTGGAATGTTTGTGCCGCGTTTCGGAGTCCAAACGGCATACTCACGAACTCGAAGAGGCCGAATGGGGTTATCACGGCTGTTTTAGGTACGTCTTCGTCTGCCACCGGAATGTGGTGGAATGCGCGGCGGAGGTCGATAGTGGAGAATACTTGCTTTCCGGCCAGTCCTGCTGCATAATCCTGAAGGAGCGATATTGGGTACCGGTCTGGGACGGTTTGGTCGTTGAGTCTGCGGTAGTCTCCGCATGGCCTCCAGTCCCCATTTTTCTTCCTGGCCATATGTAGCGGGCTGGCCCAAGGACTCTTGGAAGGTCTTGCATGTCCGAGATCGACCATAAGCTGAAACTCTTCTTTGGCTATCTTAAGACGTTCAGGGCGTAGCTGACGGACGCGTTGAACGCAGGGTGGACCAGAAGTTGGGATGAAATGCTTAACTGCGTGCTTAGTTGCCGTACGATTGGACGGATTGCCGAGCAACTCTGGAAATTCCCTGAGGATGGTTGTGAACTGGTTCGTCTCATCGACGACCGTGATGGAGGTGATGGGGGCTGTGGCGTACGTGCCCCTGCTACGAGTTTTCGTATTTGGGTCTATAACACAACCCCGTTTCAGGTCCACAACAAGTCCATGCTCGTGGAGAAAGTCGGCACCGATGATTGGGTACGGAACATCTGCCACGCAAAATACCCAACGAATTGGTCGACTGAGTCCAATGTTAAGAGATAGTATTTTTTCGCCGTACGTAACGATTTTGCTGCCGTTTGCAGCGTGAAGTCGGAACTGTGTTGGCGTTGCTTTGCTGTCACGTGAAGGTGGGGTCACTGAAACATCCGCGCCAGTGTCGACGAGGAATTTCGCGCCGGATGTGCGATCGTATATAAACAGTCGGCGAGGATTTGCTTTACTCCCAGTACTCGCCATGTCTACTGGGAGTCTTCTGCGTTTCCCTGAACCGACCCCCATGTGCATGGTTGAGTGCATTTGTTGGCTTTAGCGCCAAATCTGCGATGGTAAAAACAGGCTGACGAAGTATCCGTGGGGCTGGTGCGCAATGGTACGTGTGTCCGACGAGCAACCTCCTTTTCCATGGCCTGAGTCAGCTTACGCATTTGTTTTGCTAATTCATCTAGCTGCGATTGCATTGCGTCGCTTGACTTACGAGCGACGGGCATTACGTACCGACTATCGGGGTCGTGCTTGATTTCGATCAGCTTATTTGCTAGTTGCGCAAGTTGGTTGTTGTCGTTGTCGTCTGAAGCAGTGAGGGCTACCTGAATATATTGCGGAAGCCGGTCCAGCCAGATAGCGCGCACGAAAGTGGAATCTAAATGTTTACCGCCAAGACGGTTTATTTCTGCCAGTAACTCGGACGGTCGTCGATCCCCTAACTCCAAGCCCGAAAGTAGCATTTTCAGGCGACGCTCTTCTGAAATTGAAAAATGGTTCACTAGCGTATCCTTGATTGCGGCATACTTATCGGCTTCCGGTGGGTTAAAGATGATATGTTCGACGATGACGAGCGTGTCCTGGTCAAGCCGGGCGATTACCGCCTGGTATTTGGTTGTGTCGGATGTAATTCTTTTTAGCTGGAATTGCGCTTCGATTGCCGCGAACCAAAAATGAACTTGTTTGGTCCAAAAGGGAGGCAACTCCAATCGCTCTACCCTGTCGATGCTAGCGGTTGGTTGTTGTTGAATCGTGGGAGAGATTGCTTCAAAGAACACCTCGTTGCCTGCGCTAGGAGCCGGTGAATCACTGTCCCCAATATTTGCGGAGTCTGCCTGGCTATTTTGCATCTTGACGAATGTATAATTGAAAATATAAAAGCTTCGGGGTCACCAATTATGTGGCGAAATGAAACCACATATATGCGTTTAATATGTATATTACTTTAATTCAACTTTATTAATTAAACCAAAAATTTATATCTCTCTAGGCACGCGTTCGGTAAAGAGCCGTTAATGAAAAGTTCTCGAAGAAGTTTTTCTACAGAAAAGCAAAGAAAGGGGGTAGCAGAAAACGAATAATGACATAGAGAAGTGCTAAATGTGGTGTTGCCACATGTGTTGATTATTGCTGTGTCCCCACAAAGGTTTGAAGAAACGTCAAGCGCAAAAGGTTTGTTGTTGAGTTGCTCGCCTGAAAAGCCCGAATGACTTCGAAAGCCGCAACGCCTGAAAAACCTGCAATGGAGCTTCAGCTTTAAAGTTGCACGATTCATGATACAAATTTCATTGACTACATGGAAGTGGTGGAAATGAACACAGATATTGGTGCTGCCAGATGATGAGAATAGTAATGAAATACGCGTGTTTTTTATTCACCTTATATCGAAATACTGTTTTACATAAAAAAAAACGCCGCGGGCGAAGTATTGATTTTAATAAAAATTTCCATTACTTATCGAATTATCGATTTTTAAAAGAAAGCGCCACAGGGGAAAATTGTTTATAAAAAATCGAGCGATTTAAAAAAAAAAAATAGGGTTCACTTCGCGAGAGTGAACCACGCCTAGAGCAAAATGACTTTTTTGGGCGGTGTAGAGGGGGTCGTACACATCACAAAACTAAAAACCGAACGGCGAGGAAACTCATAGTTTATGAGTAATTTGTTGTTAAAGTTGCAAATTTCACTTCACAAAATGTAAGATAACAAACCATAGGGCTCTTCAGGATGTTATGGAAATGCTCTGGAATTTGCAGTTGGAATTGGATTTGCAATTTTATGCTTGCTGCCATGGCAACCGTGCGTGCATATTATTGTTGTGAATTTATAAATGCAACGTATATGCAAATTCAAGAGCATTACGTCGTTTAAAGTGCAAAACCGCGTATCAACAAAATGCAAAACCGCGTATCAGCAAAATGCAAAACCGCGTATGTGAAATTGTAGAAATTATTTTCTAGAGCGTAAAAACACTCATATCTCAAAATGGTTCTCTTTTTTATAAAGCAATCGCATATCTGCCTAGTATATTTCAGGACGAATGGATAAGGATTGAGCCAAGAGCTTGTGTGAGCAAATCCAATTTTTGGCAGCTAATGTCAGTTACGCGGTTTTGCAGAATCACGATATGCGGTTTTGTACTTTATACGAGGATATGCAGAATATCTTCACAGCCCTCATTTCAAACAAATACAAGAGTACAGAACATACACATTTCAACTAAATTAAGCTCTTTGACCGTTTATTTATTTTATATCTTATTAATTTCATTGTTCAACGATGAGGAACAAGTTAATAAATATATTTACTTTCCATTAGAGAACCGAAATAGTATGTATGTATGTATGGACAATGAACGAAATGAAGATAGCCGCAAGCAAGTGTGAGTAACGTGTTGCCAGAATACGTGTCAAAATGTGTTGCCAGATGTTCAAAGCGTAAGAATATTATAAAGGCAAATATGATAAGCGTTATTTTATTATGAGTTTAATAGCTATTATCCTTATCCTGAGTTGTAAATATAGAACATAATTATAGTACGGTCACTTTTATTGTTGAGAAGTTCCGTTCAAAAATACTTCTGCTCCTTTTCTTCGCAACACAGAAAGTGAATTCTACTTTGTGAGGGTTATAAAGGTATCCACATACCTACGCGATTCTGTTCCGACAAAAATTACAACAATGCCGACCATAGTTTTAAATGAGGAACCACACACTTGTACGATTTTGCTGCAGCGATTTATTTGAACATTCACAGTTCTTTTGGTCGTGCCGAAATCGCAGACTGCCGCATTTTGAGAACGAAAACGGTCAATAGAAGGATTTTCCAATATTACAACAAAATTGAACGTAAGAAAACAAAACATATTTGATGTAGAAAAGTTAAGAATTTTATTTTTGTTGAAAAATATGTTTTAATAACAATAATAATAGATTGGCGCTTACACATATGTTAGTGTTTGGCCGAGCATCTCCTCCGATTTGTGGCGTGCGCCTTGATGTTGTCACACAAAGAGGAGGGACCTACAGTTTTACGCCGACTCCGAACGGCGATTGTATTTTAATGAGAAGCTGTTTTTCATGGCAGAAATACACTCGGAGGTTTGCCATTGCCTGCCGAAGGGCGACCGTTGTTAAGAAAAAACCTTTTTTCTAAATTTTTTTTGCGATGTTGCTTTGGCCAGGGCTTGAACCCAGGCGCTGCGGAGTGCTTACCACCACACCACAGCGGCCACCATATGTTTTGTTTGTCTATAAATTGACAGTTTTTGCTGCGATAAAATCGCACAGATGTGTGCGTACTTGCGTTTTCGAAGCAGTAACTTCTGTACCATCAAAAACGGTGCGGATTCGTTGCGACAAAATCGCATAAGTGTGTGGAGGCCTTAATGCCTAAGCGCGACCGTAAGCCGCCTACGCAGTGAGAAGTTCTGCTCAAAAATACTTCTGCACCTTTCTTCGTAACACAGAAAGAGAATTCTACTTTGTGAGGGTTATAATGCCTAAGCGCGGCCGCAGGCCGCCTACGCAGAAAGAAGTTCTGCTCAAAAATACTTCTGCTTATTTTCTTCGCAACACAGAAAGAGAATTATACTTTGTGAGGGTTATAATCCGTAAACGCGTCTGCATGCCGCCTACTTTTGCTGATTTTCTTCGCAACACAGAAAGGGAATTCTATATTTTGGGGGCTATAATCCCTAAGCGCGGCCGTAGGCCTCCTACGTACAAAGAGTTCTGCGTCAAAAATACTACGCTGTCAAAAGGTGTTTTATACACTTGACAAGGTAACCCAAAAGGAGAATTCTGCGTAGTAAGGGTTATGATAACTAAGTGCGGCCGAAAGCCGCCTACGCCGAAAGAGTTCTGCGTCAAACACACAACACAAAAGGAGAATTCTGCGTAGTAAGGGTTATAATCCCTTGACAGCTCAACTCCGCTATTTAATATAAAAAATCCTCAGGGAATTTTTATTCATGATAGAAGGAAAGGGAAAAGAGAGAAAACTCGCAGGGAGTTTCGGTTCAGAATCGGCCTCACAGTAAATATATGGAAACCTAGTAAAAAGTAAATCGGTGCGGAGAAAATGAAACTTTGTCTCTATGGCAGGATTTTTTTTCGCCATTGTTTCATTATCTGTCATCATCGAAATTTTTGTTCACAGATAACTTTCGCTTATCTACCTGCGTGCATATATGTATGTAATAATTCTATATTGGCAGTAAGCTAACTTCTCAATGAGTAAGCATTCCGAAATCAAAGCGAGACAGTCTTGTACCGTTTTTGTGAATGTATTGTGTACGTGTACAACACAAACGGAGAAAAAAGTTAACGTTTGAAACAGGTCCTGAATCATAGAATATTGATTTTTCCATATCAGAATAACCCAACCGACGTTGTCACATCATTAGTATAAATATTAAGATTTGTGTATTGCAATCGTTACGTCGATTGTTCTTTACTGTTCGTCCATTTTTAACGTTTGTTCGTTAGCCACACAGTAATAATTGATTTTTAAATTTTTACTTTACGTTAAACGTTATACCATGTTCTGACCGACATCGAAAACATGTTTTCGTTGCTAAAACTGATTTTCGACCTAAAACTTGTGTTTTCGTCAATGTAAAATCTACGAAAACAAATTTTCGCTGAAAACCACTTGAAAACTCACGTTCCACTCATTCCAATCGGTGGCTGCACTAGTTTTTTTCGATTATTTATCGAAGTGGAAGTCATATTTTATCATCTTTAATACGCCATTTCGGATTTATTGTTAATTGGCTGACCAAAATAAAAGAAGCATGGAAGTAAAAGGTTGTTAACTAAAAGAAATTGAAGGAAAAGTATTTTGGTTTTGTATTTGTGCAGCAAAACTGTAAACAAAGGATGTAAGAAATGTCAACAAAAACAACAAAAGTCGGTGTGAACAGCCTTCAGCCCACAATCCCAAAACTCGTTTTCAAGGTGTTTTCGTTGTCGGTCAGAACATTGTATTACGTTCGCTTAATACCATGTTCGGACCGACAACGAAAACACTTTGAAAACGAGTTTTGGGATTGTGGGCTGAAAGTTGTTCCCGCCGGCTGTTATACCATGTTCTGACCGACATCGAAAATAGGTTTTCGTTGCTACAACTAAACCTAAAATTTGTGGTTTCGTCCATGTAAAATCTGTCAAACGAAAATCAGATTTCGCTGAAAACTACTTGAAAACTCACGTTCCACTCGTTCTAATCGGTGTCTCCCTAGCTTTCTTCTTTTCATCTTTAATACGCCATTTCGGATTTATTGTTAATTGGCTGGCCAAAGTAATGATAGTAGAAGGTCAATAATGTAGAAGGTCAATAATGAAAAGAAAATGAAGAAAAGGATTTTGGTTTGGTTTTTGTGTAGCAAAACTGTAATTAAAGGATGTAAAAAATATCAACGAAAACACTAACAACCGGTGTGAACAACCTTCAGCCCACAATCTCAAAAAAAAAAATCGAGCAAAAGCCGTTAATAAATTCATCATTTAATTATTTTCCATTAACGTTGTGGGTTATGGACCCAACCGACGTTAGCACCTCATTACCGCTGCGTTTACTTAAGACAATTTGAGACAAGACAATTGAGAATATGTACTAGTTGTCCAATTGTTGTGTAAAGCAGGCGTCCAGACAATTACAAAGACAATACGGCAATTTTTTGTGATTTTTTCTTACTTCTTTTTCTCAAATTAACCAAGACGTGACCGAAAGGTCCAATTTACTGTCTGATTCACTGTCTTCAAAAAATCCAAACACAGTGACAAAGGCAATGAGAGAAGTGTGAATGTATTAGTGAAAAAGTGTGAAAGTGTTGTTATTATCTTG